CATACATACATACATACATACATACATACATACATACATACATACATACATACATACATACATACATACATACATACATACATACATACATACATGGATATATAAAAATAGATACTCAATGTGTGCGTTATAATGGACGTATGATATATAATGTGACAACAAAAAATAAGAAAGACACATATACGGAAATCGTGACACGAGTTATCTAATCGCCGTCGAAGCTGTTGTGATCATTAGAATTACGTGCGAAAATATGTTTTTCTATGGTTGCTGTTTTTCGTCCTTTTTTCTTATATATATACATAAATGCATACGTAAGTAAGTACATATCCATCACAAATACATATACATATATTTGATGCGACGAAATATGCGAATGTACGGTGAATCAATTATCATCTTCATTATCATCTTCATCGTCATTATCATCATCATTGTTTCGTGATCATAATTATGCATCATTATTGTCATCGTTTTTATCTTTATTTCCTGTGGATTATCTTAGATAAAAAAGAAAACTATACAGATCGAGTTCGGAAAAGTAAAAGTTGTCGAAGTAAGCAAGGATGGTTTTAACAAAAGAGAAAAAAGAGATGTGTATCTTACTTTCGTCGATTTAATGCACGATCGAACCCACGCCTCGTAGGTTATTATTTTTTATCTGTAAAAATAGATCTCTGGTAGCTGTCACCTTGACATTTTATCGTGAGTTTAACGGGAAAACGTGGGTGACGGATTTTCTTTTGCCAAGAGAAAATCCTAAAAGAATGCACATGCGCGAATGAAAGAGAAAGAGAGAAAGAGGGAGAGAAAGATTATATTACATTTTTTTTTGCAAAAAAAAAAGAAAAGAAAAGTTACTATGTTCGTTTTTTCACAAATTCCAATACATATTTACTTACGTTAAAAAAAAAAAAAAATACCTATAGATTTTAGAAATTGAACAAATTTAAATTTTCTCGAGTGTATTCGCTGTATATTTTACTTCACGATAGTTTCTTATTCCTGTTTCGTTGAGAAAAGAATAAAAAAAAAATTAAAAAGGATTATATACATAAATAAATAAAAATAAACAAATAGAAAGAAAGGAAAGAAAAGGAAGGGATAAGATAGGAAAGGAAGAGCGAGTCTCTTAGGAACTGACGTTAGATATTTTTCGATGTAGATCGTAAGTTAAAACAAGAGATTTTTAATTTCACAATCAGGACGAGTGAACGATATTACGAGAGAGAAAGAGAGAGAGAGAGAGAGAGAAAGAGAGAGAGAGAAAGAGAGAGAGAGAAAGAGAGAGAGATAAATAAATAGATAGAAGATAGAGTAAGAGAGAGATAGACAAAGAAGAAGATAAAAAAAAAAATAAAATAAAATAACCAGTCGAAAGTTGGCCCTACGGCATATACCGTTATCGACAATATCCATGGGCTATGGCCGATTATCGTTATTTATTATTATCGTAGGCCGTTCATTGTACACTTGCCCACACTCGTATTAACAATAATAATAATAATTAATAATTAATATTATTAATAATAATCATAATAAAAGATAATAGTAATAATAATAATAATTAATTAGGATGATATTGTAAATTATTGATAGGTAATGATGGATTTTATTTAAATCGTTAAAGATTAGAAAAAAAGTTGATGTAATATCGACCGTTCAACGAATTCTAGTTAATTGTAATTAACCAAAATTTTCTTCTTTTTCCCTTCGTCCTTGGTATTGACCGTGTAGAATAGTAATTTATAAGATAATTACTAGCTGCTCGATTCCAACGCTAATGTTTTGTGTCCATATTTTGCGCGTGAGTTGACAAACGTACATTATAAGATAAAGTATAATATATACGTTTATCGACATTAATTCAAGTCGAATTGATCGATGATTTGAACAAATTCTTGCATTATTCGTTTGTTTTGTTTATCATATATATAAATTTGTTAGACGATGTTGAAGGATTTTCAAGAGAATGTTTTAAAATGTAAACGTGATGATACAAGCTGATAAAAGAATACATATCTTATATTATTGTTGAATATGTGGCCAGGCATATTATTGGTCGGTAAATACGAAAAGCTTTTAAAAATGTAAAAAACGTGCAGTATGATGCAAACGGGGGCCGGTTTCATATCCGATTTTAAGAGATAAAATTAATTTTTCCTTAAAAAAGTAGCAACCAAAATGGAATTATTTGAATTTTTATACGACTTTCTAGATATCTTTTCCCTTATAAATTGTTTTTATACAATTTTTAAGTGAAAGAAAAATCATATTGTACTTTTCTTATCTCTCTCTTTCTCTTTCTCTCTCTTCAATTATCCTTATTCACCCTTACTCTGAGTATGATGTATATGCATTATATCAGCACGCACATATACTATGCGTGTATATACAAACTCATATGATATATAAATATATATACACGTTAGTTCAATCAATTTCTTAGCTGTAAATTGTAAATAAGATTTTTTCTATATTCCAGTAAAAAACAAAAAGGAAAAGAAAAATAATAATTAAATAATAAAAAATAGATGTGTAAGGTGAAAAAGGGATGCTTGTATCTCTTTTCTCGACATTTGTTCTTTTGGACCTGTTTTTATGTACAGTCGTAATAGCATCGCGATACATATTTCGAAAAACCGACCAAATGAAATTAATAATAGTAACAATAATAATAATACTAATAATAACGATAATAGTAATAATACTAGTAATAATATTAATACTAATATTAATAATAATAATACTAGTAATAATAAATTCGAATAAGTTAATTAAATTTATTATTTCTCTTAATATAATACTTCATTATATATATTGGTCGGTTTTTAGAGATTTATAATAGTTATTTTTAGCAACATCTATGTATATATAGAAAAGTGCATGAGAGTAAATAATATACATAAATAAAATACGTATATAATAATCTAGATAAAAAAAATAGTAATAAAAACAAAAATTTAGTCTTTTATGAAATCGACCCTCGATTCTCGGATTTGCGAGAGATACAGAGAAAGAGAGAAAAATTAAATAATAAGAGAGAAAAAGTCGAGGTAACGATATTGAAAAAAACGTCCCGCTGATGTGGAAAAATTAGGAAATAAAGAATGCAAAAGAATGAGAAAGAGAGAGAAAGAGAGAGAAAGAGAGAAAGACAGAAAGAAAAATAGGGTAAACGTATCCTCTGATATTTCGGGGCCAATTGGTATGAAAGCAAAGAGAGAAAGAGAAAAAGATAGACAGATTGATAAATAAATAGATAGATAGATAAATAGATAGATAGATAAATAGATAGATAGATAGGTAGATAGATAGATAGATATATAGAAAGATAGATATATATATATATATATATATATAGATAGATATATAGAAAGATATATAGAAAGATAGATAAATAGATAGATAGATAGATAGATAGATAGATAGATAGATAGATAGATAGATAGATAGATAGATAGATAAATAGATAGAT